TGACTACTCCTCGCAATTTTCAATATAGACTGTCAGTGAATGTTTGGGCTGGATTAGTTGATGGCACCGTGGTACGTAATTAATTAAATCAATTGAAATACTTAGTAACTAACTTTCTAACTAACTTACAAACCTAATTATTAATTAACTTACTAACTAACTTATTACTAAATAACTTTCTAACTAACTGATAAATTAAATTAGAAATTAACTTACTAACTAACCTTCTAACTAATTTTCTAAATTGAATGGTTGGGCACAATAATAAATTGTTAATTGTTATTTTTTACTTACAACTGCGTTATTTTATAAATGTTAAACTTTAAAATTTTTAATTTTTAACATGTTGTAACAGTTATTACCTTTAAAAATTAAACATGTTAAATATAAATGTATTGTAATATAATGAAAAATATTAGTAAATATTTTACAATGTCTGACATGATTTAAGATATTTTAAACGTAGATAAATTTTAAAAAATTTTAAATGCGAATTGAGTTATTATAAAATAGGCTTACAAGCGTGCAATAATGTATATTACAAATATTAATGTATGTTTTTCGTTTCTGCTAAAATAGATAAGAATTACAAATAATTACATACATTAATCGTTTCTTAAATAAATTTTATAATTTATTTATAAAATTATATAATTTATTAGTAAGACTTCCTGTGAAATAAAGCATGATCTGTTGAGCAAGTGAAAAAATATGACTTGAGACGAAGGTAGACGAAGGTTTACTGCGCGCCGCCCTGTCTTTTAAAACTAAAATATTTCAATAAATAATGAAGGAATCTTTCTGTAATTTTACAGAAAACTTCCTCAAATAGTAATAAAGAAATGTCTCACTGGATGTTTGCTCAACTCTTAACTTCCTTACAGACTTTTTGTCGGCAAAGATAAGGGAACGTGATTATCGATGGTACTCTATTAATAATTAAAAATTAATAAACAATTAATTTTTTTTGAATTTTTAATTATGTTTTTGCCTTTTATGGACCCAAATGCGTTTGAATATAAAATTACACCCAATAACATATATCCTTTCCTTCCGGTTTTGACAACTTTTTGAAAAGTGGTGTGCCTTCTATAAGAATGTTTTAAGTCGATGGACTTAAACCATAGACTTAAGCCATAGACTTAAAACATTCTTATAGAAGGCACACCACTTTTCAAAAAGTTGTCCAAACCGGAAGGAAAGCATATGGGTGATTTGCACGTAACTGTAATATTTGTCGGCGTCACAGAAACACATTCAAAATAAAAAATTTTTGCTTGGGTATGGATACATTTCACAGGTATATATAAAACCTATTCGCAACCAAAAATATGTACAAATAGATATTATAATTTTTGATAAATTGCGGAATTCCCTCCAAAATTTCAGCTCCGTGGCGTGTCCGTTTTTTTAAATTTTAAGTTAAAATTCAGAAATTTTATTGAAAACGCCGAAACTGAAAACGAGAATTTTTGTAATATGAATTGTGTATATAGGTAAACAATTTCTACATATAATGCATCTTCTAATACTTCTTATAAAATTATAAAATGTAAAATAGTTTTGTCCACAAATTTTTGCAATTTTGTAATAACATTTTTTTCCCTATATTTTAACTGTTTATGGCACATTTTAATGTTATCTGAGAATTACAATCTAAAATAAGATCCATTAGCAACAAATATAAGTAAAAAAAAGGTTCAAAAATTGGAAGTTCTACACTCAAAAACAATTTTTTTTGTAAAAATGTGAAGATCACAAAAAAAGTGATCAGTACCGTGGTATTACTATTCTTTTAATCTAAACACTCTCTGTTGTAATTATTACGATTTTTTTGAAGATTACAATAGAAACAAATTATCTGCTCAAAGAAAAGAATTATTTTGCAGAATTGTCGGAGTTAGGTTAGTTTAAATGTCAAATTTCAGCCCCGTGGTGTCACATAAAATATCAGCTCCGTGGCGCCTGTGGCATACAGTGTGAAGGTGCAAATTCATGGATCAACAGTTGCTACAATAACACATGTTATAGAAGAGGACAGACATACTTGTGTCCTTTTATATTTCAGTGCTTCAGCAACCGTTGACTTATTAAAAAACAACTTAATATTCGAAAAAACACGCCTTTACTTTTGGTGCTTAATTTAAAATGTCTTTATGTCAACCATGCAGAAGCACAGTATTACTGTTGATCGTAACGCTTTTATTTGTGAATACTTTTCTGAAATTAGTTTTATGCGCTAATTTCATAATGTTATGAAAATAAAATTCTCTGGTTATGTCAAGCTGATAGTAAATAGTAAATATTTTTGCTGGGGCTATTTTGTGCATCAAAATGCTTTTTTAACTCAGTGATTTATTCAAATTCAGAATTAAAAGAAAGTCAACTTTTGCTTATGTTATACTTCTTTCTGAAGGTTTCCTATGAGTTAGTCAATGAAATAAATTTTTTTGTCGGAGTTGTAGTCATTAAAAGTTGTGCACAAAATAGACCCCGAGATGGGGCTACTTTGTGCATTGATCTTTCTGTTTTTATATTGTTAAGTAAACATTTTTTTTATCCTTTCTTATTCATTAAATCTTTTGTGTAGATATTTCAGAGTAAATTAAAAAAGAATAAGATATTAAACAAAAAATTTTGTAAATATTATACAACAAAATGTAAAATAAAACATTAAGATTTTGCTAAAATCATGATTTATTAAAAATTAACAACCTTTCTTCAAATTTTATATTTCTCAGAAAATAAATAACACTTTTTCTTTTTAAATATACATTTTACAATAATACATTATGATAATTATAATACTATCATTTAAACACATGTAAATAACTTTGAATCTCATCATTTCAATAGGAGTTTTTTTAAACGTTTTAAATATGATATTTTTCAAAAACTTGAAATTAATATTTTAAGGTTAAATGAATAACAATTTAATATCTAATACACTTTTCAAGTTATTAGAGAAACGAGAGAAATAGTTTTAAAACTAATTTGAAAAACTTATAAATATTAATTAAAGTTAATTTTTCGCCGTTATGTTCCTCACCGGTTGAAAATTTAATCGTTTTAAGGATTTTAATTAAATTATTTTTGGTTTTTTGACAAAGAAGTCCTTTTTAATAATTTTATTTATTAAATATACCTCCTACATAAAGTAGCCCCAGTTGACGGCAGTATTATTCAATGCGTAGGGTGGTCAGCTCCGTGGCAGCCAATTTTCGAAAATTTGTTATAATTTTTTTATAATTATGGCTGTAGTAAAACCGTTCAAATTACAACTATATTATGCCCTAACGATGAGGAAAAGTAATATTTAACATTAAAAAAACAAAATTTTTTTTCTTTTAAAACTGATCTTGAAATTGCACAGTTACGTGAAAATCATCCATATATGTTATTGGGTGTACAAGCAATTTCAATAATATTTACAGAAGATACAGCGAGTTATGTTTAAAAATTGAATCTATTTTGAGAATTTAAATTTTTACGTTTTTGGTCACTATTTTCTAAAATATTCATTTTAGTGAAAAATCCAAAAGGAAAAAAAGATGCGCCTTTTAATTTCCTATCAGAAACTGTTTTCAAAAAAATCAAAATTTCCAATTTTTCCACAATTTCTACCGTTTGACTGACTTTATAGCGTGTGGCGGAGCGTACGTCTCCTTATTGTGCCCAACTATTCAATTACTAACTACCTTACTAAGTAACTTACTGACTTACTAACTAACTTAATAACTAACTTACAAAATAACTACCTAGTAAAAAAGAAAGTATTGAGTGGAACGTTTAGGAATTGAGTGAAGCTCTGAGCCAATACGGATTCGAGTAAAAACCGTATTGGGACGTTTGACTCAAATCTTTTTTTCATCCGCCGAATACGGTCTTATTTTAGCATTAAAATTAAAATCACATGAGCAGAGTACACATTATAAATTGAAAGCACAATTGTCCTGGAATGTAAAAATACCGATTTCCCCAGTAAAAAAATCGATACACGGACCGCGGAGTTCGAATACGAGCTCGGTAGCTCGTATGAGAAATATGAGAAATCTCTCATACGAGCCTTTTCCGTAATGAGGAGTGTATAGATGCTTGTATACGAGGTGACTTTTAAAGCATTTTTATTAATGTAACACTATTTTAAAGTAAATGTAGATAATAGAAATGAATTTTCTCATCTAAAACAAAGCTACCCAGGCGGAAAAGTCGGACGAATGCCGGATCGTCCAACCGTCTAGAATCCGCGCCGGTCGAATTGGAGAGTCAATGCCAGTGCAGGCAGTTTGTACCGATTCGGATGAGAATTTCTGTTGGCGCGGTACAAAGTCGGATGCGACTTTCGGTACAGTCTTTCTACTGTCGGCACTATACAGGCGCGGTACAAGATTTGATAAAACTGCTGGATCAAAATTTATACCGCATCGCAACCGGCGTTGTACTGGCATTCGTCCGTCTAACGACCCGAGCGGTACAGGCATTCTACCGACTGAGAACTAAATAAAATTTATATTATTATTAATAAGATTTTAATTAATAATAATAAGCTAAGAATATGGTTATTGTTATTCATTCTTTCAAAACAATAATTAAATGCAAGAATATAAAATTTTATTGTAAAAATGAATGAATTTGAAAAATAGGTTTATGACGGTTCTTTTAATAATAAATTAAAAGTTATGCAAAATTTAATAAATCATTTTTCCCTTATTCGTCACAAATCATTTTCTATTGCCAACGTGATAGTCAGACGCCAGTTAATTTTATTATTAAAAATTAACAAAAACAATAATTTATTCTCAATCAACAATTACCAACAAAAATAACAAATCTCACCATAATATCTCAAAGGAGATTCCGTCAGGAAAATAACCAAAAAGGGAAACTTGGTCATTTGAGACACGACTCTTGTCAAACAGAAAATTATACTTACTAAATCTCAAGTCTAAATAATTACTAGATTATAATTCCTTGTTATTCTTTTGACAACCAAAACACAATTTCTTTTCTAACAAACCTTTATTAACAAACTATTAAATTCTCCACATAACACAAGTCAACTACATACAACGTCAATATTCCTTCGTACAACATACTCTTATACTTTTTACAAATCTCATAAATACGTCTTATCTCATCAACATCCAAATCCAACTATCTCAAAAATGTGTTTTTGTCGTCTGCTACTTTTTTCGCGAAGCGCCAGTACACACTTGTCATAAAGGGGAATTTACATTTCTCCCTACACATTAAAGTCAAAAGGACTAACGCGCTAAACCCAAAATCAAATAATTATTAATTGAATTTATAATAATAAAAAGAAAGTAAATAATGAACATATCATGACGAAACTACTTCGTCATAAAACTCCCCCCTTGAGATTGAATCTAACTCTTATGCATTCGAACTCACATCAGAAACATACAACTCATAACAAATCAAATCAATAAAAAAAAATACTTTTTTCATTTAACAATACTAAACAAAAAAAAATATAATAATTAACTAAACATTATCCTACTTCAACACATAAAAAAATTTTACAAAGTTCACTTCACTTATAGTCTTTAATTCTTGGTTCTGTTCACTGCATCAATTTCTGGATGGCCATGTTGATTGTTTCCAGCGGTAAGCAGTTCATTGCCATTGTCAAACTCGTACGGCAATTATCAAATCCTTGGTCTCCTCTCTGTATGGTCCTAATTTACCGTAAGAAGGTCGTCGGTTAGATTCTGCTTCGTCAAGAATAGAATGGTCCTCACACCAAAAAGTAATTTGGAAATTTTCCAGGCTCATTAACTGCATTCGAATCCTTGTTTACTTCCCAGGCTCAATTTATTGACTAGATTAGTCACTACTTCCCTCTAAGTTGTCTGCCGAAATTTACCCAAGTTGAGACATAACTTAAAAATAAATAAATAGTTAGTAAAAATTATACTTGATTTAACCAGGTTAATATTTCTCTAAGTCTGTGACATGGATTTTGGGATTTCTACGGCTGTCTTTGGTTCGTAGTACAAAAACTAAAGGAGATAATTATTTGAAAATTTATGAGATTTCCTCAGAACTAAGTCACCAACTTTAAGATTAATTTCAACAAAAATGACAAAAACTAATTTTTGTCATAGTATTAAGTCTGTCTATTTTTCTCCTTGTCAATGAATTTTGTCACCAAGTATCGCAGTGCGTCAAGTCGTTTAATCCTGTCAATCCATTCCTAAGGTGAAATCCTTCTGTGATCAATCAATCCATATTGGCGATATACCAGGTCTAAGTTGAACATTCATATTCCAGGTTTTGGAAAAGTCACTACCCAGAATGATGTCTAGTGTAACTGAATGAAGAATTTTGTTGTTGAGTATGTCCGTCTACAGTAATGTTCAATTTAAACAACCTTGTAGTCTCTCTCGTACCACCACTAGCGATCCTTATTGAGGTTTTGCATGGTTGTAGTCGGCTCCTATACGGCTCTGTTACTCTGTTGCTGATCACCTATATCATTGCTCCAGGGTCAAAAAGTGCCTCATAAGATTTGTTGCCAATGTGCATTAAAAAAAATCGTCTTTTTTTTTATTCGGCTACTGTCTACATCCTTGTCAATTTTAAGGTATGGGTCAGTTGTGTCCTTCACAACCTCTCCCCTCCCTTGGATCATTGATACTAATCCCTTGTCAGTATCATTCATCCCCTCAATTAAACTCCACTTAAAGAGTCGATCATTATACCCACTCTTGACCTCAACATCACTAAATGAAAAATTAAATGAGTCTCTTTCATTCTTACATCCTCTTTTATCACATGTCAAAAATTTGAATGAGTTTTTCTCATTTAACTCCTCAGTTCCTACCCTAACTTCGCTTCTTATGAGTGGTTTCTCCCCACTCTTGTCAACTACTACCATGTCACCTATGTCCCAACTGCAAGATGCACCTTCATTAATAGGGAAAGAATTTAAACCTTTAATTTTGTCAGTTTCATTCCTATTTTTCTCAATAATATTAGTTTTCTCTTTGTTCTGAGAAACTTTAATTATCGAGTGTGAAGGGGGTTGGCGGGGGGTACAGACATCTTCTGCGCCCCCCATGGTCCGTTTCCCAAAACATTCCTTATATTCACACAAATCGGGCAACTTAAGAAATTTACCCCTGGTGTTTTGCAGGCTAAGCAAAATTCAGTCTGCTTTACTTTACTGGGGCAGTGCGTCGCAATATGCCCTTGTTGCTGACATGCAAAACAGATTCTCAAAGGACATTCTGACACTCTATGTCCCACTGCTTGGCAAGAAAAACATGCACCATAGAAGGGAGTTGATGCACTAGTACTACCAGTTGAACAAACTTGACCTACTGGGGCAACGACAGTATTAACAGGGTTATTCTGTTGTTGCTTCTTCTTCCAATTACCCGCTACCATGGCCGCATACATCATCGCTGGATTCGGCACTGGTGTTGGTGTCGCAATGGTGGGGGTTGTTTGGTTGAGAGCGTCGATTTTTTTAGTAGTTTTCTCAGCCTTCTTTTCCCCCTTAGTCTTCTTTTTCATCTTCTCTCCTTTCATTTTATTTGCTTCCTGACATTCACTCAATTCTGTTGCACCCTTGTCTTCCATAGCCGCAATATCGTTTTCATGTTTATTCGTCCCATGCGTCTTGTCATCCTTCTTGGTACCATGAAATGCAGCAGCCGGAAAACGCATCTTGTCTTTCGATGGTGGGGGAACATATCTGTCGTCCAAGTCCTTTACTTTTTCGTATTGTCGTAAATTCTTTTCTAATTTGGTCAAAGATTCCAAACCAGATGAGTCAACTTGTCTACGATAAATTGGCGTAAGGCCTTTGTAAGCTATTTTAACTTGTTGTTTGACTGGTATGGGTCTCTTTAAGTGTCCCATTATAAGTCTTAAACTTGTCAAATAAGAAGAAATCTTTTCTCCTTTTGCTTGTGTCCTAGCCCTTAATTCATCAATTATCCCGTCATCGTCAACTGTAGTCAAAAATTCTCGTCGAAAAGCTCGCTTGAACGCCTTCCATGTCTTAGTTTCTCGTCTTATGGTCCTGTACCATCGACTTGCATTACCTTTTAATACACTTGGAATTGAGTTTATTAGATCATCGTCATCTATCAACATACAATTTCTACAATCTTCCAGTCTGTTGAGAAAATCTTCAGGATCAGCATTATCTTCATTAGAAAATTTAATGTCCCAATTAATTAATATTTTAATTGTTTTTGACCTCCTGATTGTCTTACTACTGTCTGATCTAATAGAAGATTCACTTGAGTCGTCTAAGTCAGATTCACTAGATGAATCAGTGAATAATGTTCGTCTTATGCTCTTTTCTTTGTATATTTTATTGGTTCGTCGTTTGCGTTGGTCCTTACTACGAGAAACTTTTTTTTCCCTAGTCGAAATATTTTCGGGTTCGTCTGAGTTATCTGTAATAACACTAACTCTCTCGTCTTTAGATATCCCCCCTTTGGACAGATGCTTTTGATTAGCCTGTACTAGTCGGTGGATATTTTGGTCACTTCTCTTCCTAACTAATTTACTCTTGTTATGAGTGTTCTGGGAAAAATGTACTTTCTCAATTTGTTCAAAATTTTCATTTTGATAATGAGACAGAAGTTCTTCTCTTTCTAAATGAGGAACCACGTCATTTAAAGGACACTCAAAATTATTTTCCTGTCTAGTAGGGCAATGTTGCTCGTCAGTAGGGAAAAGAGTATTAGTCATTTGTTTGTTTAATTTGTTTAAATGTCTGATTTCGGGACTGATACTGAGTCTAGCGACTGATTGTCGTAAACTAATGACATTTGGTGCCATTGTAGCCGAAACAATAGGTTGAGGTGCAGTCATAACTGTAGTAGTTACGGGCAATGATAGTGTGTGGGAGGTTGTAGTCAAAATAGAAGTAGTAGGGATACTAGCTGTCGTCATAACTGGGGTTTGAATCAATATTGGGGGGCTCGGTAAGGACTCGCTTGTCGGACTTTGTCTACTATACGAAGAGTTCCTCTCTCCCCTCCCTGCTATTGATTCTTGATTTTGATCAATTTCTCCCAAAATACCCATGTCTCTTAACCTGGGATTGGTAGTCTCCTCACCACTCTCACTTGTCTCTCCTCCACCCCTTGTCTGGCAAACATTGGAAATTTCCTCCTCTTTTGGCGCAATTAAGGCTTCAAGAAGAAAAATTTTGTCTGTTTTTCCTAAATCATACAATTCACAAAAAGGAATATCTATCTCGTCTGTAAAAATTTTCCTTAATTCAATACGAAATAATCTTTCTCGAAGAACTTGTAAAGTCCCCGAAATTGACAATTGTTGAGAAAGTAACAATGTTACTATTTGTCCTACAGGCATTTTGGCAATAGAATTCCAAATATCTCTAATATCGGGACTATCTATCAGTCTTGTCATTCTTTCCTTGTAGTCAGTCATTATCTCAATTGCAAAAGCCATTTTCTTAGACAAATTTTAAACAAGTAAAAAAAATAATTATGTCACGCTTTGTCAAAATAAATTAGGGTAATTTTATTTTATTTTGGAAAAATTCGTTAAATTTTTCCAATCGTCGTAACAAAAGTTAATTTTTAGGGTACTACACAAATTATATACGGTCCTGAAATTATTTAATAATTTGTTTAATTAATTTTATTTCCATCAAACTTAAAAAAAAAGATAAAAATTTTGAAAATTTGTTAATTATTAACAAAAAGGGGGCACGTCTCCCATTTAATACGGCCCTGGTCCTTTTAAAATTTTCACTGTCTCGCGGCAGAAATTTTCATCTCCCTTCCCAAGTCAAACTTCTCTTGTCAATTTCTGCATGAGTAATATTTTCGAGCCTACGTGACTAATTTTTGTCATGCGCAATAGTTTCCCTAGTCGAAATTTTCCACTGATCGACAATTTCTATAAAAAAATGAATTTGAAAAACGATGCGGAAAAATTATCACTACGCGCATGCGTTGTATGTCACGTAATTATTATGATTTTATTCAACACCAAGCACGTGTTGGCTAATTATTTAAATAATAATGTCAAAAATTATTTATCACTTGCGAAAAATCAAGAAAAATTCACTGAATTTAGTAAAATTAAAATTACTGAAATCGTCCAAGAATTACAAAAACTATTCAACTTCCAAAAAAAATGTCTAAATTGAGGTTATGGCGTCTCTCGCCATGCCGTCAACAAAAATTCTCAAGTGTAAAAATGTTTCATTTTACACAATTATCTCCTCCTCTCCAAAGTCACATATAATAAAGAAAACAATTTACATGTAAATCTCCTCCTCTCCCAAGTCAAATATAGAAATACATATAAATTCTTCTCCTCTCCCAAGTCAAATCAAAAATACATGTCACAAAAATAATTTCAAGTCAAAAATTATAGAATAATTTCTAGTCGTGTCTCAAAAATTTCCCAACAAATGTGCCCCACGTTGGGCGCCAAATTTTATGACGGTTCTTTTAATAATAAATTAAAAGTTATGCAAAATTTAATAAATCATTTTTCCCTTATTCGTCACAAATCATTTTCTATTGCCAACGTGATAGTCAGACGCCAGTTAATTTTATTATTAAAAATTAACAAAAACAATAATTTATTCTCAATCAACAATTACCAACAAAAATAACAAATCTCACCATAATATCTCAAAGGAGATTCCGTCAGGAAAATAACCAAAAAGGGAAACTTGGTCATTTGAGACACGACTCTTGTCAAACAGAAAATTATACTTACTAAATCTCAAGTCTAAATAATTACTAGATTATAATTCCTTGTTATTCTTTTGACAACCAAAACACAATTTCTTTTCTAACAAACCTTTATTAACAAACTATTAAATTCTCCACATAACACAAGTCAACTACATACAACGTCAATATTCCTTCGTACAACATACTCTTATACTTTTTACAAATCTCATAAATACGTCTTATCTCATCAACATCCAAATCCAACTATCTCAAAAATGTGTTTTTGTCGTCTGCTACTTTTTTCGCGAAGCGCCAGTACACACTTGTCATAAAGGGGAATTTACATTTCTCCCTACACATTAAAGTCAAAAGGACTAACGCGCTAAACCCAAAATCAAATAATTATTAATTGAATTTATAATAATAAAAAGAAAGTAAATAATGAACATATCATGACGAAACTACTTCGTCATAGGTTATAATTATATTTTTTAATAATATTTATTATATATTTATTAATAAATAATAATTAATAAATTAAAGATTTAATTTTTTTTGTTATATTGAAGTTTCTATAATAACTATTATAAATTAATTAAATTTAACTGAATTTAAAAAAATTATGTTTAATCAATGGAAACTTATTAAGAATAGAATTAAATTGTTTTTTTTTAATATAAAATTTGAGGTTTATTACATTACGATTATATGCAGTCCTGTATCAATTTTTTCATAGTGAAGTTAGCTTCACATAAAAAAATTATCGAGATATCGATAATTCGATTGTGGTAAACCCGCGAAAAAGACTGTAATATAGTCTTGTTCTCGAAGGAAAGAGTGTTTAGTGATTTAATTTCAGTATTGTACCTACAGTTTGCAGAGCCCTACATAAATTTATTTTTAAAATTTCTTTAATGTAATATAATTAAATCGTTTCATCAATTTTAATAAAAAGGCAATTTTTATGTTTATCAGTTAGTTGTTTACGAATTGCTTGTTAAATAAAATGAAATATTAAAAAATTTTCTTAAGTATGTAAAATTTGGGTACTGAAATCTAGTAGATACGTCACTGCTTAAAGTATCATCACCAGGCCTGCGCAATACGTTTGTTTTCAATGCAATTTAACTTGAGTGATGTTTGAGAGAGTAAGTGTTGGAAGAAATTCTGTTATAATTTAACTAAAAAGGAATAAAAAGTACATATCTGTGGAAGAAAGGCATAACAGCATAACTGCATTTGTCATGATTTCGAGATAAATTAATTTTAATGTTCTCTCACTTCTGTCAATTCAGAAAATCAACAGATTTGTTCGGTCTTTTGCATTTAGTATTATTATTTAATATATTTTCAAAATTCTTTTATAACATTTAATAAAACACACGATTTGATATAAATTTTGATAATTTTTCATCGGAATCATGAGTTTTATTGCACTTATGCGGTTATGCAAGTTCAGATTGTATATGAGTCTAACTTCAGACACTTTTAATGTCAGAATTTATTTTGGTTTGATTTGTCATAATAAAAAAAATTTTCATACAAAGACAAATTAAACTATTAATTCGTTAGAAAAAATGATAAGAGTTTATTTAGTTATAAAATTTTTTTTTTTAAGAAAATGTTTTAAATTTATTGAAACGAGAAAAAAATTTACTTTACTGTTCAACTTGAAGAATTTTTCAATTTATTTTTTGAAATACTTTCAAAATTTTTTAGAATAGAAATACCCTTAAAAATAAGTACATAATTAAATGCACAATTTATGCTATAAAAAATTTGTTCCAGTTTTATTAAAATAAATATATTTAATTTAAAGTACGAAAAATGTATTTTACTAAAAACATTTTATTACAAAATTCTTATTGTTTTTATTCATAAAGGTTATTTTCATTTTTAATTACAGTGCCGCTCAAAAGGATTTGCCCACCCTACGCCATGCAAGGGCATTACAAAAAGTTTTGTATCTTCAATAATAATAAAGATAAAATCTTAATCAAATATTTATTTTAAACCTTAAGTATTTGACTTGAAATAATGCCAAAAAAAAATTCCAAAAAAATTTTTTTTAATGTTTAATTGCTAAAAATTAAAAAAAAAATTTTTCACTTTTTTTAAAAAATTTCAAATTGATACAATTTTTGAAGAAATCATCACATTTAAAATCTACAAATGTCATTGGAAAGCATTTTTTGTCACCTTTCAAACGATTTTTTGAAAATTGCTCTACGATAATTTTTAAGAAAGATATAATCATTTGTTTATAAAAATAGCCTATTTTTTCAATTGTTGGTAACTTGAGAACAATTGATTTTTGAAAAAAATTGTTAAATAAAAATATTTGCCTCTTTGTGCGTAGAATTAAAAAAAAATATTTAACCAATAAAAAAATTTTTTTTTATATTTCTTCCTTCTGTATATATTTAAGACGAATAACTGTTAAAAAGAACAGTTAATGATTACATTTTTTAAATATTTAAATAACATTAATTAATTAATTAATTTCGTGATTTTTATATTGATTGTTATTTTTAACAACACTAATTTAATTATTTATAAACAAATAAATGTTTTATAATTAATGTTATTTAAATATTTAAACAAATGATTATATCTTTCTTAAAAATTATCGTAGAGCAATTTTCAAAAAATTGTTTGAAAGGTGACAAAAAATTCTTTCCAATGACATTTGTAGATTTTAAATGTGATGATTTCTTCAAAAATTGTATCAATTTGAAATTTTTTAAAAAAAGTGAAAAATTTTTTTTTGAATTTTTTTTTGGCATTATTTCAAGTCAAATACTTAAGGTTTAAAATAAATATTTGATTAAGATTTTATCTTTATTATTATTGAAGATACAAAACTTTTTGTAATGCCCTTGCATGGCGTAGGGTGGGCAAATCCTTTTGAGCGGCACTGTATGTCAATTGTTTTTTAAGCTGAATGCAGTTATGTTATTATGCTGGTCTCCTTTTGTCAAAAACGCAATTATGCGATTATGTTTTCCATTATTTTCTACATTAATAACCATTTTAATGATTTTTCAGCTATTGAACTTTGAAGAGCAATATTAAATATATACAAGTCTGATGTTATCTCAAATTTGATAAAAATGTCAGTTATGCTGTTATGCCTTTCTTCCACAGATATATAAATGTGAGATTTGTATTGCTAGCATTCGAAAAATTTATAAAAAGGTAAGTCAAAGTTTTTTAAGTATAATTCATCAATTAACCTTTAGGGACCTACTTGTAATGTATAAATGAAAGTTAAACAAATTTAAAAAAATTATTTTAAATAATTTCAAAAAAAAATTTTAATTATAAATAAAGTATACAACTAATTATTTATAAATATAAAACACTAGATTCACTTACATAATATTCAGAAAATGCTAAAGTATTCAATTTGTTTTTAAATTATTATTTATTGTTGTATATAAGTTGCTAAAATTGTTTGCTCCCTAGCGGTACTGTATATGGGTTTTGTTATCCTCACATCCGCAAGCGAGCGAATAGCGTAGTGGTTAGCGTATTAGACTTCGGTGCGTAGATTCGGATAGGCTTGGGTTTCGTATGCCCCTGCAAGCGTTTAGAATTTTAAAGTGTAAAAAAATGTTAAATGTGTAAAAAATGTTTTAAATGATCTGTAAACAAATAATAATTAACATGCACCATGCATAGTTAATTAAATATTCTTTTTTAATTTATTTTTCAATAGAGAATATAATTTGGCCCGCATCGTTTGCTAGGCGGACGAATGCCAGTAGAAAGTCATGTTTCGGAACAAAATTTGGCCCGTCCTGGTTGCCAGACAGACGAATGCCGGTACAACGCCGGATGTTTGGCGGCATTAAATATGTACCGAGCCGGACGCGCGGCCTGTACAATACATAGTCATGTTCCAGCAGAATGCCTGTTCTCGGTCGGTCACCTGACGGACGAATACCGGTACAACGCCGGATGTTTGGCGGCATCAAATCTGTACCGAGCCAGGCGCGCAGCCACTACAATACATTGTCAGGTTCCAGTACAAAGTCTGCACCGCTCCGGTCGTCAGGCGGACCCATGCCAGTACAGTCTTACCGACTTTTGTACTGGCGCGGTACCATGCCAGTGGGAAATTTCCGCCTGGGTAAATTCATAAGGGAAATGAAGTTTTAAGAAAAAAAGGATAATTTTGTTCAAAAAATTTATTCACACTGAAAAAAGGTTAGAATTTGATAATTCCTTGTTACTCTTACTTACCGACATTAGATATTTCTCGGATGCAGTAAGCACGATTTTGTATTAGCGGTAGAATAAATAAGTTTTTCTTTATTACTAATTAATAATATATTATTATTTATTTATTATATAAATGTTCTTATATAAAATAATTAAATTTAATATAAAATCGTGTTTACCGCATCCAAGAAATATCTAATGTCGGTAAGTAAGAGTAACAAGGAATTATCAAATTCTAACCTTTTTTCAGTGTGAATAAATTTTTTGAACAAAATTATTCTTTTTTTCTTAAAACTTCATTTCCCTTATGAATTTAGCTTTGTTTTAGATCAGATAATTCATTTCTATTATCTACATTTACTTTAAAATCGTGTTACATTAAAAAAAATGCTTTAAAAGTCACCTCGTATACAAGCATCTATGCACTTCTTATTACGGAAAAGGCTCGTATGAGAGATTTCTCATATTTCTCATACGAGCTACCGAGCTCGTATACGAACTCCGCAGTCCGTGTATAGAATTTTTTTACTGGGTCGATAAGAAACAGTGAATATTTGTTAAAAATTGGTAAAAGCAAAGTTTGACAAGCGCGACTGAATTTACCATGTGAATAAATGAAGTGTAAGATTAAATGGACTAAAAGAAATCTACTTTTACCGACAGAAAGTTCCTAGAGAATTGTGGTAAATTCAACAAAACAATGAAATTTCATTGTTTTACAATTCTCTAGGAACTTTCTGTCGGTAACAGTAGATTTCTTTTAGTCCATTTAAACTTACCACTTCATTTATTCACATGGTAAATTCAGTCGCGCTTGTCAAACTTTTCTTTTACCAATTTTTAACCGCTTGGCGGTCGACTTTGTTGCTGCTTTATTCTTAATTCTATTTTAATTTTTAATTAAATTCTATTTTATATTTTTAATTATTATATTTTTTATTTGATATCCTTCTTTTTTTATTTATGATTTCATTTTATTTATAAATAAAATCATTTTATTTATAAATTTTTCTTGAGATAAACCAGACAAACCTAAGACAGCTCCATCTATTTCGTTTACATTTAGAGTGTGAGGTGCGCTATCTATGTTCTTTTTTATTCTCTATGCTTATTTCTTGCTTCGATACTTTTCGAGTTCGACTTTTTTCAATTCGAGCTTTTTCTGCTTTGCATTTTTTTAGAAAGGAAAATAAGACCATATTCGGCGGATGAAAAAAAGATTGAGTCAAACGTCCCAATAC